CAAGTGGATATCACAATTATTTATCAAGATGAGCATTGAGCATATATTATATTTATCTATATATTTTACTCATCTCAGAATAAATTTAAGGAGATTCACAAACTACCACCTGAAAAAATTACATAACTTGCTAATGCCTAAAACTTCATATTCACTCACATAACACTATTTTTTTTACATAACATAAAAAATACAGAAGCTTAATCAAACCTACTTGTCTGATACCTTATCATCGATCCCCATGCTTCCGGCACTTCCGAACAATATTTCGTCAAGGCAAAGCCCAACAATCTTGCATTTCTCTTTCAATGAGACCCTGTCGTGATGCATAAGCAATTGTCTTGTGCATTTCCAACGAGATCCCATCGAAACTTCCTCATCTCTTCTCCCTCCTCAATAGGGATGTACACGAGCCGAGCCTGAGTGAGCTCATGGTCAGCCCGTGTTCGGCTCGTTCGATACTGGCTCGTGTTCGAAATAACTCGTGAAGGGTGTGTTCGTGTTCGGCTCGAATAATATTTTTCAGCTCAAGTTCGGCTCGAAAATGGAGGAAACGGGAGAGGAAGATATCGAGGAAGAGGAAGAGGAAGAGGAAGAACAAACCCTAAGCTCTCGCGCCAAGACTCTTTTGCAATTTTGAGAGGAGAAGGAGATACCTCGGAAGAGGAGGAGAACCCTAAGCTCTCGCGACCGAACGCCTTTCGCCTCTCGCTCGCGGCCGAACGTCTTTCGCCTCTCACGGCCAAACGCCTTTCGCTTCTCGCGACCGAACGTCTTTCACGATTGAGAGGAAGGAGTTGAGAGGAAGGAGTTGAGTCGGAAGAGGAGGCAGCCGAACCCGAGAATCGATGTCATGGATGTAGGGTTTTTTTAACTTTATACTTATACATTATATTATATTAAATATTACAATATATAGGATTTACTTTTTTAAAATTTAATTATTTTTTTTATTTTAAAAAATTTTAATTAATTACAATTTATAATATTTAGTTTTATGAATATATATTATATGTGTGTGTATATTTATTTATTAATTTCTTTTCGAGTCAATTCGAGCCGAACACGAGCGAACAAATGTTAAAAATATTTTATTTCGTGTTCGGCTCGTTTATATTTCGAGCTTATAAATTTGTTCGTGTTCGGCTCGTTAAGGAGCTGCTTAACGAGTCGAACACAAGCTGTTTGTGAACAACAAGCCAAATTGACAGCCCTACTCCTCAACGTTCATACATTGTGGGCCCCATAGATCCAATCTCCTCTCTCTTTGCAATTGAGGGTGTTGAGAAATTTAGGGCGAAAATAACGCAAATCCAGAAGAATAACACAGAGATTTAATAAAGTTCGGCAAAAATTCCTACGTCCTCGAGAGCAGAGCTGCGAATTTCACTATTTCAGAATAGTTACATACTCATAGGGTTACACATCTATTTATAGATAAAACCCACAGATAAATTTACAAACACGCTCTCGCTCCCCCCAACCCACTAATCCAAGAAACACTTCTTCACACCAAGAGACACGTCTCTTCATTCCAGGAGACACACCTCTCCAAATCTAAGAGACCCCAAATTCCCGGTATATGAGTCATACCTAACAATTCTCCACATTGACGAATATTCAGCCCCTTAGGAGAAAATTTTCACATTGCAAATATACAGGCACTGAGGAGAAATACATCATGGAGTTTCTTACACCGAAGTGGGTTGGGCAACTATGCCAACTAGCAACTGCAAACATTCAACAAGTTCAAGTAACGCAAGAACTTGTTGAAAATATCTGGCTTGGTCAACTTTCCTGCTGCATTTTTATCATATGATCCGACAGAGTGAACTCTACCTACAACTGTACTCTCCAACAATTAATGGATATTACCATCAAGTTTCACTCGCAATGTCTTCAAAATTTTTTGTTGTGCCAACAAATCTTTCACCCTCGTTTGCCACAATCCGAAGTTTCTTATTTCATCGAACTCATTATCTCGAATTTTGCACCAGACATTGTCATTTGAAATTAATCATGCAGTGAATTTTTCCTGTATTATATTAAAACAAAACACACCGCATATAAATTCAAATAAACCTGAAATTTCTTTTGTCAATTGCAACAATTTTTCTGCAGTTTCCTGTGATTCATGAATCAAATTTTTCACACGAAGCACATTTCCTGTTCGCACAAAAATTCGGCTGAAATACTGCGGACACCAGCCAAACTTCACCTGTTTCAGTTTCTCCTGTGACAACTGCGAACAATCAGCGAAATTCGCGAACTCCACCTGTCGCAATTTCTCTTGTGACAAACTTGCGAACATCGTTGGTCGAACACCACATGTCGCAACTGTACCTGCCGCAAAACCTCCTGCGACAAACTTGCAAACTCCGCCGGCGAACACCACCCGTCGCAACTGCACCTGCCGCAACTCCTCCTGCGACAAACTTGCAAACTCCTCTGTTCTCAAAAGCTCCTATTCGCGCAAACTACACGCGAACTCCTGTTCACGAACTTCACCTCACTGAACACCGCGAAGGTTCATGAAATATCGCGCCTCGAACCCAGTGAATGTCGAACGTCCTGTTGCAATGCTGCCCTAAGTTCATCGAACTCCCTTGACCGCAGGAACTCCTCGCAAGTAGTCGCGTCAATTTACAAACTACTGTGACAATTCGCGAACTCCTCCGCAACCCCCTTCGCAAACTGTCCTATTTCACTCCGACAAAGGAATTCGCTTCTAGGAAATAAGTTTTCTTAATTATCTTCCCTCCGGCCAAGGGAAAATCCATGGGGAATATTCCACTGGTAGGAATAAAAAATTCCTTTATTCCTTCCCTTCCTCCCGAGAATTCGAAGGGAATAATTTAAAAGAATATTCCTCAAGTTCAAATGAAAGATTCCTTCATCCCTTCTAAACTGTTTCGCATGTTCATTCCCGTGAGCTTTGTCTACCTTGCGAACAATCCTCAAAATTTGCGTACTACTCATGTTCGCCACTGAACTCTTCTCCTCTGTGAAACTGACAAGCCCCGCTCAACTGTCTCTTCACCTTTTCGTTGCAGTCCTCAGAGCTCCAGCAAAATAATTTACTTCTGGAATCCTTCCTCCAGCACGGGAAATTCCATAAGAGAAAGGAATATTCCTCTAGCATGAGAATATTCCTCTAGTAGGAATAAAAGATTCTTTCATTTCATCTGCAGTCATCATTCTTCCTCAGATCCAAACAAAGCTCTGATATCAATTGTTGAGAAATTTAGGACGAAAACAACGCAAATCCAGAAAAAGAACATAGAGATTTAACGAGGTTCGACAAAGATGCCTACGTCATCGGGAGCAGAGCGGCGAATTCACTATTTCAGAGGAGGTACATACCCATAGGGTTACACATTTATTTATAGATAAAACCCACAGATAAATTTACAAACACGGTCTCGCTCCCCCCAACCTACTAATCCAAGAGACACCTCTTCACACCAAGAGACACCTCTTCATTCCAGGAGACACACCTCTCCAAATCCAAGAGACTCCAAATTCCTGGTATATGAGTCATACCTAACAGAGAATTACGTTGTCGTTTCGGAAGGAGAGAGCAAGGGTTTCAGGCAGAGGAAGGCAACAATGGCGGTAGATAAGTATATAGCATAGCTTTAAGTGGTATGTATATAAATCCACCATAAATTTAATGGTTTTTAAACCTCATCATGCCGGAATATCGTAATTTCTAAGTGAACTGAAACTAATTTTTTCCTTTCAAATATATGGACAGGTATGCAACTTAAAATAAAAATCAAACCTCTACAGCATATTAAACAATATGTTTTCTGCACAGGCAAAATAACTTCAACAATTCACAAAATTTACAGGTCAGGGTTATTTTTCGTCAGAAGTGACTGAAGTTGTGTCCTGTAATATTAATAATGTTTGGGGCACCTTCTAAAGACAAAGATAACAAAAGCACTTTATTTTGACTGACCATAAAAGTAAGGCGACTCCAAATAACCAAATTTTATAAAGGGTGACATTCTTCTTTAATGGTCAGAAACATATCGTACAATCACAGTTCAAAAGATAGGCGTGAAACAACAAGGTTCCCCTATAGAAAGATAATATAGGGAAGAGGAAAATACTCTAGAGAAGCACAATATAGCAATCTAGGCATCAAATCTCTCAATAAAGAGCTTCCACGCTCTAATCCTTCATGTCATTATGATTTGGCTAGTCCTTCCTGGTAGGAGAAACAAAAATCTTTATCAGCATCATTAGGGCAAGTTAAAGAATTAATGATAAAACAAATAAAAGTTTAAAACTGTGAAACGACATTTTGATATTAGTACAACAAAGTTTTTGGTTTTATCAAAGTGTTAAATAGCTAGATGCCTTCGTCCTAAGAAAATTCAGACATGCAGGTTGGAAACCCTTAAAAAAAAAAGGATATGAACAAAAAAGAGGAGAGGTCTCATTTTTTTCATTTATTGGAGAAAATAATTGAACACGTGGAAAAAATTCTCAATCAATTTGGATTCATGTCAGACAAAGCTACTATGGAAGTTATAGATTTATATTTTGATAGAGAAGCACAGAGAGAATAAGGAAGATTTACATCTTGATTAAATCAAGGATCAGCTTTAAGCCTATATCTTTTTACGTTAGTATGGATGTTCTTGTTGGAAATTTACAGGATAATATACCTTGATGTATCTTTATCCCTAATGATATCCTTCTTATGGTTACGACTAGAGAGAGTTAAAAAAAACTTGATTTACGGAGGTCAACTTTAGAATCTGAAGGTTTTCGTTTGAGTTGAAGTAAAACTGAATACATGGAATGTAATTTTAGTAATAGTAGATCGAGTGATGAGGTTGTAAAAATTGGTGATCACTCATTAAAATAGGTGAATGCTTTAGATGTATCAAGGCTATTGTTCAAAGTGATGGTGATATAGAAGGGGATTTTATTAGTAGATTCAAGTTGGATGGTTGAAGTGGAGGAATGCATGGAGCTTATTGTGTGATAGAAAAGTACCACTTAAAAGAAAATTTTATAAGATGGTGGTGAAACTTGCAATGCTTTATGGTACAAAATGTTGGCATGTAAAAGAGAAGCGTAAAATTGTGTTGTTGAGAAGAGAATGCTTAGGTGTATGAGTGGCTTTACGCCTGGAGACAAAATGCGAAACGAATATATTCATGAAATGGTTGGAGCTATAGTGACGGGCATGATTAGAGAGAGTCCGCCTTAGATGATTTGGTCAGCTTAAACGTCGACCATCTGATGACGTTGTTAGGAGAGCAGATGTTTTAAATTTGACTTTGGTTAAGAAGGATAAAGGTAGGCCCAAAAATATTTGGGCATATTAGATAAAAAATGATCTTAATTAGATTTAAATGAAAATCTGACGCTCAATAGGACAAAATGGAAAAAAAGGATTTATGCAGCCAACCCTACTTAATGGGACAAAGGCTTGTTGATATTATTGTTGTTGAGGGCTATGGAGCAAAATTAACATAAGTGACGAGTAGAACTAAATCACGAGCTAAGTCAAGTACAATAAACACTCATCTATTTACCAAAATAATATCCTGTTCCCGCCCATTTATCTATGGCCTTGAGTAACAACGGATGTGACAGATGTGGGCCACACATTCTACTTGTTTTGAGAGATATTGATGACAATACTCTAATAAATAATGAAACAGTGCAAGAACATTGAAAAGACAGAACAAAATTTGGCTCATCCCATTCCATAATTGCTTACCTAATAAATCTTGTTGGTGAACCATACAATTAGTTGAGAGAAAATCCTTTCCTTTATACATTGATGACAAGACTTCTTTTTTCTCTAATTGTTATGTATTATTGATTTTTTATATATATATATATTTAACTGTCTTTATCAATAGATTAATTTTAATTGGTAATCTATTTCAGTGTTTAAATTTTAAGAAATTTGAATCAATATGAGTAATCTTCTTTTCTCAATACTTACGAAGTCCTCAATTCAATTTTTGTAATATTTGAGATTTTCTTTCCCTTTTTCTCAGTATATTCTTGCTTTCAAAATTTATTACAATTGATGAAGATAAAAAAATAAAAATCTGCAAAACTTATGATTTCATCTTTTCGAACTCAGCTAAGAATATTTGAGCTGATTTATACCCAACCTAATGAGAACAGCAGAAAATACACAAGAAGTGTTCATCATCAACATTTTCACTAGCATGTCTAGAAAGCATCTTGTTGAACTCACCCAAGTACGAGTTGCAAAAACATATAGTTGCTCTGTGGAGGATCACTTGCAACACTCAAGGAAAATTTTTTAGGTGCATTGGGCAGACGAGATATATGGTCAACTCAGACCCCCTATTCTCACTCTTTCAAATTTCAGTAATCCCTTAATGGATGGATGGATGGATGGATGGATGGAGTAATCTCGAATCATCAGCTAAATGGATCATGAATTAACTAGCTTACATCTATATTCCAGAATTAATCTAACTGAACTCTCCTAGAACATATAGGGACTAATAAGAATCGAATAATATTATATTGTGACAATTAAGGGTGTAAACGAGCCGAACACGAGCAAGCCTAGGCTTAGCTCGCGTTAACACGAGCCGTTGACGAACAAAGAGTCGTTTTGACAACCCTAATCACGTAGTCATAAGATTTTAAGGATTGGGACAAGATTTAAAACATCATTTAAATCTAATTTAATAATTTTTATTCTATTTTCTTCATTAATACTTTTAATTGATTATAAATCTTTGTAGCATTGTAGTCAATTAATTTTTTTAAAAATACTCATCAAAGATAAATATATAATTGATTAATAGTATTTCAAGCCAAAACAAGCCGAACACAAACGAACAAATATTTGTTCGTGTTATTCGTGTTCGGTTCGTTAACTTAGAGAAAGAGTCGAACACGAGCTATTCGCGAACAACGAGCCATTTTGACAGCCCTAGTGACAATAAAGTTGTTGTCAGTATGACATACAATCTATTTCATCGTTATCAAATCAAAACTATGAAAATGAATCAATATTTCATTAAAGAAAAAAAAATGAAAAAAAGATATGTATTTTATATATATTTCCCCATACCACCATAATATTGTTTGCCCAAAGGATTTGTGTGTGTGTGTGTATCTATTTATATATATATA